GAGTTTTTTTGTGAGAGAAGAATGTAATGATTATGGGTTGGATGTGATGTTTTGTTTGTTATGGCTAAAATAGCCTATTTTGTTTTTTATGGCTAAAATAGCCAAAAAAGCCTGCAAACCCACTTGCCAAACACAGGCTTAGAAAGTTAATTAGATTTCTTTATAATTAAAAATAATTAGGGCAAATTACAAACACCTCTCTCGAGGTTTGGTGAAAATATAAATTTCTCCCTAAGGTTTGAGAAATTACAAATTGCCCCATGAGGGTCAAATTTTCATAATAAATTAGGGGAAATTAGGGGAGAATCTGTATGAAAATAAAAACCTCATGGGACAATTTGTTATGGAAATATAAACCTCAGGGGGACGGGATGTAATTTTTTAAATCTCAGGGAGAAATCTGTATTTTCATCAAATCTCGAGGGGATGTTTGTAATTTGCCCAAATAATTATGAGTTTGATGTTATATTTTATCTTATTAACTATTTTAATCTATTTTAATTTTTTGTAAATCTTAATAATAATAAAAAAAGCCAAAAACTCATGCCAGTATATACTTTTGTTAGGCAAAATGCTAATTGACGTTCGGTTCATTTGACGTGGACGCTACAGTTTGACAGGGATTGTGTGGTGGTGACTGCCCCAAGTTTGAAAATAATAAAGTTCTATGTTTAGAAAAATGTTCATAATTCAAAGTTTACAGAGTAAGGGGTTGTTTAGAATGATCTAAATAAATATATTATTTGATTTTTTTATGAAATATGAGTTGAGTTTAGGTTGGGTTTGAAGTGATGTGATAGAGAGGTGATGTGACTTAAATAAGATGATGTGATTTAAATAAGATAGTAACTTTTTGACTTTTTGTCTTTTTTCAAAGATGCCAAACTTGGCCTAAATTTATTTTGAATGTGACTAAATATAAATAAATAAATAAATAAATAAATCTAAACCAAAAATTTTAAACTCTGAACAATTTTCTAGATAAGTTTTTTTTTGTATATACTATTTCTGTTTTGAAAATTTCTCTTCGTATGGTAGTATTTTTTAAGAATAATAAAAAATGTTTAAAATTCCCTTTCCCCACACCCTTTTGCTTTTGATTGGTTCATTTTTTATTTATTTATTATTATTTTAATTTTTTTTTTCTTTTCTCCCAATCTCTAATCCTTACATGTGTGTGGGAGTGGTGGAAGTGAGAGTTTTGAGGAGATCTTAATCCATCCTCAAGAATAACTTAGATTATATAGCCTCCGTTTGAGAAGTGGGTTGGCTTTTTGGCTTTTTGACTTTTTTGACTATTTTAGCCTGGGCTTAAAAGTTTGGTTTGGGAAGGGCTTTTTGGCTTTTTGACTTTTTTGAGTTTTTTTGTGAGAGAAGAATGTAATGATTATGGATTGGATGTGATGTTTTACTTGTTATGGCTAAAATAGCCTATTTTATTTTTTGTGGCTAAAATAGCCAAAAAAACCCAAACCATGACTTCCCAAACGAAGCCATAGATATGGGGACAGAGTCCCGTGGGATCAGGGGTGGGTGCACGTGACCCCCTTGAAAATTTTAACAATGTCCTCTATTCTAATTTATAATGGTATCATTTTTTAAAACGACAATGCTAGATAGCTCAAATTTTTGTGGCTCAAATGGCTCAAATCTGTCAAAACGACGTCGTTTTGACAGATTTTGAGTGTAAAACGACGTCGTTTTGACAGATTTGAGCCATTTGAGCCACAAAAATTTGAGCTACCAAACATTTTCCTTTTTAAAATTATATTATTTGGTTTTATTTTTTTAAAAATACTTTTCAAAAAATTCTATTTTATTATTTTTCATATTTTTTTTATTTTTATTGAATTTTTTTAATATTTTAAGCATTTTTTTTATTTTTTAGACATAATTAACATAAATATACCTAAAAAGCAAAAAATTTGTAAAAAAAATCTTTTAAAAATTCACTAAATACCAAAAATACAAAAATTTATATGAGAATTCAATACATTTTTTGTATTTTTATGTATTTATTAATTTTTTAAAATATTTTTCACAAATTTTACTTTTTAGATACATTGAAGTAAGGGGCATCTAAAAAAAGTAAAAAAAATGTTTAAAATTTAAAAAATATTCACTAAAAACAAAAAAATACGAAAATCAAAAAACTAAATTTTCAAAAAACTTATTCCAAAAAACTCAAACCAAACACGCTAACTATAGTGTCTTCTATTATAAAATTTATCCGATTACTAAAGAACTTATTAAAATAGGTCATGCTATTATACACCACAAGAATTATAAGTGTGACATATGATAGATATTTTTTTTATGATGTGTTTTGTAAAATTTTTCTACTAAAATATGTCATTTTTATCTCAACTTATTTTCTTTTTTAATTTTCCAATCTACATAAAATGATTACTCTCAATATTTATATAAAATTGAATCTCAAATTCTTTATTTAAAATTCATATTTATATAAATAGACTCTTAATATTTAAGTTTAACAATATCTCATTATTATTTATTTTGAAAAAAAAAATCTATATTTTCATTAATTTTTGTGCCTCTGAACTAAATTTCTGACTCTGTCCTCTACTTGTTTTTTCCCTTAAAAATTGAATAGTCACCCTGATCTCGTGATCACCTACCGATTTTTTATTTATTTATACTATTAGTGATATTATAAGCGTGAGTGTACTTATTTCGTTAAAGTTATAATCTAACGTCGGTGCTTAAAAATTAATCAAAAATTCAATTATAAGCAAACATCAATTTATCTTCTTATTTATAAAATTGTATATTTTAACTCAGGTAATATATGATTTTTATATATGCATGAAATGAATTAATATTTACTAATAATTAAAGAATCTTGGTATAATTAATTCTTAATACTTCTTTCATCTTAAGATAATAGTTTTTTTTTTTTTTTTTTTGAAGAATTCAATATTTTTTGGTAGTATAATTATTATATTTTAAAAATATTAAGGCACTATTTAGCATTCCTTATATTAGCACATTTTGTATCTTTTTATCTTTTTTAAGTCATATCACCTCTCTATTTTTTTATATATCTTTTCGTAAAAAGTCAAAAATTATATTTATTTAAATCATTCCAAACACCCGGTAGTACAATCATTACAATTCAAAAGTAATTTTATTGAATTTAAAATGACAAAATAGAAAATTTATGTTATTTAATTAAGATTCAAAGGGTCATCCCAACCAAACAACAACAACAAAAACAACAAAAAACAAATCCGTAAAAAAAATAGTTACAATCCAAGGAAAACCACCGATATTCTTATGGGAAATTTAGCTATAAACCTCTCTTATCTTCCTTTTATTGTTAAAAGGATTGAGAAAAAAATTATACTTTTAAAATTCTCTCATAATTACAAAATCTTGTATAAAGGACAAAATTTATTATTTAAATATTTTATCAGACTATTATACCCTCAACTAAATCTTCCATAATCACCATCTCAATCTCTCAAGTTTCGTCTGATACAACTATTGCTTATACATAGACGATGATGCCATGGTTAGGGTTTCAAAGAAGATCTGGTCGGAGTGACTAGATCTGGTAGCAAATGCCTCCATAGAAACGATAAGAAGATCAAAATAGTAAAAGTTCATCCTCAATCAATGGCTTCGTTGTTTGAATCTAAGGAATAAGCTCTCTGTCTCAAGATCTGGAAAAATCATCACCCGTAACTTTCTCTTCGGATGATTATGACGATGAGCAACACCAATTGACAATGGAGATGGTGGAGGTATGAGAGATGATATGCGGATATGGTGAAGATTTGTAAGAGAGAGCTGTGTGTGTGTATGTGTGTGTGCGTGTGAGAGAGAGAGAGAGAGAGAAGACACAATAATGATAGAAGACATAATAACTATTTGATCTTCGACATATGTTGATTAATTTTTTTGTTGTTGTTTTTGTTTTTGTTTTTGTTTTTGATTTTGATTTATTTTTGCTGATTTGCCGAGTTTAATCAGGTGTGTGCTCTAGTTTTTGTTTGACAGAATGAGAGTAAAATTTTACTCTAGTTTGTGCTCTGTTTTTGTTTGACAGAATGAGAGTAAATTTTTACTCTGGTTTGTGCTCTGTTTTTGTTTGATTAAATGAGAGTAAAATTTTACTCTAGTATGTGTTCTATTTTTGTTTGATAAAATGAGAGTAAACTTTTACTTTGGTGTTGTCTGTTGTGTTTTTTTATACAATGATAGTAAACTTTTACTCTGTTATTGTGTACTTCTGTTATTTGTTTTTGGACTCCTAGTGATACTAAAATTTTATTATCAATTCATTGCAGATTTGAATTATATAATGATAGTAAAATTGTAATTTCAGAGTACAATTTTACTTTGGTTAAAAATATGTTGATTTGCTTAACGATATAAAATTTTACTTTGAATCATAGTACACTTTACTTTGATTCAAAGTAAAGTTTACTATGATTTAAAATAAAATTTTACTCTGGTTAGAAACATGTTGTTTTGCTTAACAATATAAAATTTTCATTTGAAATTTTACTTTGAAATATACTGTGAAGATGGCTTAATAGGAGAACTGATAGATATGAGGGTAATATAGTAAAAGAAACAAGTTTTAAAATATTAGGAGATTTTGAAAGTACCTATATAATTTTTGTCTTTTTGAAAAATAAATTAGACAATGAAGGATCTATCACTAAATCTCCCTATTCTTATTGACTTTTTATGTGAGAGAGATATGGGTGTAAAGAAAAATTGAGGTGGTGTAATTAATGAATAATGTTATATATATATATATATTAATTGATATATTAATTAATATATTAATAAATAATATAACATAATTTTAAATTTTTTTAAATATTTATAATTTATATAACGAATGAGATTAATATTAATATCATAATATATATATTGATACACTAATTAATATATCAATTAGTATAATAATTAATTAGCGGGCTTTTCTTCTCAATCTCTCACTTTCTCTCTCCATCTATATAATAGGGTCGGCTGGCAACACTTACATATATCCCTTCCGTAACCAACCACATTGCATCATTTCCTTGCAAATGGAATCAAAGGAACCAGAACCCTCTTTCTCTTCTCCTTCTCTCTACTCCTCCAGGTATTCTCTCTCTCAACATCAAAAAGTCCAAGAATTCATAATAGTTTACGAGAAATTTACCCAGAAACTTTATACATGGCTTAGATTCTTTCCTAGTATGAACCAGACTTAGAATGAATCCCAACCATTGAATAATTTTTTTTTTTTTGGGTATTTAGCATATGCTATATGATGATATGTGTTTTGCATGGATTCTGTAGATGGTGGTCGAAAGACACAGTAGCAATTGTGACAGGTGCAAACAAAGGTATTGGGTTGTCAATGGTGAAGCGTTTCGCAGAGTTGGGAGTGACTGTAATTTTAACAGCAAGAGACACTGAAAGGGGACTCAAGGCAGTGGAGTCTCTCATGGCTCAAGGTCTTCATGTACACTTCTTTCGCCTCGATGTCTCCGATCCAGATTCCATCAAAACCTTCGTTTCATGGTTCAGACTCAAATTCAGAGCCTTAGATATCCTGGTAAGTCTCTTGTTCTCATATTCATGAAATATTTTAGATGCACTGGACTCTACACATGCATTGGTTGATGCAAATTGAAACATGTTGTATTGGATCCTCTGATCTCAGGTGTTTAATAATCTACATATGTATGAATGAATGTTAGTGATTTTTTGGTATGAGTAATCTATGTATTATATATTGTTTTGCTTTGTTGAAGCATATTCAACTATACAATATATTGTTATTTATTCAGTATTTTATTGGTTTATCAAAATAGACTCGAGAGAGATGACTTCAATCTGTTTTAATGTGTTCTTTCCGCTAAATATAAAGTTTATAACTAATAAGTTTTACGAATTTTTTATTCAATATGATACTTATTATATTATTGAAGTGAATTGTTTTTAAGTTCTAATGCATTATTGCATGATGTATAAATTAGTAAGAAGAAATTGTGACTTTCTTTTAAAGAAAAATGTCATACACAGGGATTTTCTTAGATTTGTGCACATTTATTAATATGAGTCCTAATCAGTGTGTTTGGTTAGAATTTTTTAAATTAGATTTTTTGAAAATTGAGTTTTTTAATTTTCGTATTTTTTTGTTTTTAGTGAATATTTTTAAAATTTTAAACATTTTTTTTTTTACTTTTTAGATGCACCTTACTTAGATGTATCTAAAAAGTAAAAAATTTGTGAAAATTTATTTTAAAAAATTAATAAATATATAAAAATATAAAAAATGTACTAAATTCTCGTATTTTTTTTTATATTTTTGGAATTTGGTAAATTTTTAAAAGGTTTTTTCACAATTTTTTTACTTTTTAGGTATATTTATGTTAGGTATGTCTAAAAAATTAAAAATAATTACTTAAAATATTAAAAAAATTCAGTAAAAACAAAAAAAACACAGAAAACAAGAAAGTAGAATTTTTTAAAAATTAATTTTGAAAAACTCTAACCAAACAAAGTGAATATATTTTTTTTATATTGGATTAATTATAATAAGTCTCTCTTAATTAGTTACGAATATTATTTTATTTCTTTATTTATGAACTCATATATTTTAACATTCTCAGTTATAAAACTGTATCATTTACCACTTTTTAAGAATTGACATCTGTATGTTTATTATAATTGTGGGAGTCCATGTATACGAGTTCAAAATGAGGGAGATAAGGTAATATTTACAACAATACTAGGTAGCACAAAATTTTGTGGTTCAAATGGTTCAAATCACTCAAAACGACGTCGTTTTGACAGATTTTGAGTGTAAAACGACGTCGTTTTGACAGATTTGAGTCATTTGAGCCACAAAATTTTGAGCTACCAAACATTTTCCTAATATTTAATAATAATTGAAGGGATATTCATATAATTAATCTTTTAGTATTTAATGGTTAAAAAATTAAAAAAAAAATTATTTATGTATAGCATTAGGAGGTAGATTCTCTTCCGTCCAGTCTATAATCTGGATTGGAGGGTACGGGTCTCGTTCTGATGATTCAAATTATTTATTTTATCAGGTACTTTATGTATTTATTCTCATAAAAAACTAAGTTGATTTGATAATCGTAACCTATTTAATTTATTACGTTTGTCACAAAAAAATAAATAGTTTATTTTTAAAAACACAAATGTTGTCTATACTTTTTATCACAAACACGATAAATTGAATATGTTATGATTATTAAATCAATCTAATTTTTTTATGTGAATAAAATATACAAAATGCTCAGAATGGATTGAATAATCGAAATAAATCCGTAATGGGTCTCACAGACCTAAACAATATCATCTAATTTAGATTATAAATAGAAGGGAATCCCCTTCCATAACATTGTAAGTAAAATGGTATTTCAAACCAAATATTACAAAGAATTGACTATGAACCGTAGAACAAAAAAGTCTTCAAGCCACAGAATTTCTTGTATTTCATACCGAATATTACAAAGAATTGACTATGAACCGTAGAACAAAAAAATCTTCAAGCCACAGAATTTCTTGGGCTACAAAGGCACCAACTAAATGAAAGTCGTATAAAATCTTATATATCTTCTTGACCGTCTATTTTTGTATATAAAAAGCTGATTAGGCCGTGAAGTCTCTTAAATAAAAATATTTTTTAAATTAATTTGCAGTTCCAACCCACCAAATCCTCTATTTTAGCATTTTTCCTTGTGGTTACTACCGAATTTGTTTCCTAGGAGTATTTCCTTGTCCTTTTCTCTAATATTTGAACATAAAAGTCAAAGCTATTAATTAAAGATTATGTTATAAAGAAATTGTATGGTTCTAATCATAATAGAGAAAAGAGAAATAAAATAAATAAATTGGAGAGAAGATATATGTGATTTGATAATGTGCATAAGAAAAAAAGAGATCAAATTCACTATGAATTTTGGGTCAATCTGAATTTTTTCATCAATGATCTATACAAATTTTATAAAATAAACAGTTCAGATTATCGAAATGATACTATTGAGTGATTGGACATATGGTATTTATGAATGATTGAAGTATATGCTTTCTACTAACAAAAACAGCTACCATTTTAATTTTGTTTTGTTTGGATAGGTGAACAATGCTGCAGTGTCATTCAACGAGCTAGATGAGAACTCGGTAGAGCACGCAGAGACGGTGATAAAGACCAATTTCCATGGACCAAAGTTGCTGACTGAGGCTCTCTTGCCCTTGTTTCGCCTCTCTCCCTCCACAAGTCGTATTCTCAACATTACCTCTAGACTCGGCCATTTTGATGTAAGACTTGCTTTCTGTTCAAAGTCAATCTAAAATAAAACATCATATGACTCAACAATAATATTAAATAATTAATATAAAGACTTTGTTTGAAAGGAGGTTTTTCGTAATTTTTTAAATTTTTTTATAGGATGAAAAAAGTAATATATTTAGCTTTGGTTGGGCAATTTGGGTTCGGTTGAGTTTGAAACTATTTTAGTTATAAAAAAACAAAATAAAATTTTTAGTCTAATAAAATAAAGTGTTATAATTAACTTACAATCATTACATTCTTTCTTTAAAAAAAAAAAAGTTAAAAAAGTCAAAAAAATTATTCAAAATAAAATTTTTTAACTCCAAACTAAAACAATCAAAAAAAAAAAAAAAAATTGAAAAACTAACCCCTCCCCAAACGTACTCTTAGAAATGACTTTTTTTTTGTACACCACGTGAGTATTTGCTCAATGGCAGACACAAGGTGACTGACTGCCCTCCCAAACTTCTATAACATTACACTTTTATCATGTAATTTTTGAATATTTATAAAAAAAAATTGCATTTTAGTCCTTCAAAATTTATATAATTTTCCTTCAACCCCTTAGAAATCTAAATAATTTTACTTTTGCTATCCTAAATTTTGAAAATTTTCATTATTTTCATTTAACTTATAGTAAGTAAGTATAAAATAAGGTAGTATTTTAGCCACCCCAACCTTTTTGAAAAATTTCATTACTTTAATGTATTTTGAGTATTTATAAAATAAATTAGTATTTTAGTTTCCCAAAATCTATATAATCTTCAATTCTTTTAAAATTTAAATAATTTTGCTTTAATCCCCTTGGCACAATTTTTGTGTCCGCCGCAATATGGGCTCATTTAATAATATCAAAATATATAATAACTAAATTAGCATACGGTCAGAGTACTAAATTTTTTTTTTAGGAATTATTTTTCGTTTTTTTCTTTTAATTCGATTTGCTGAACCCACTCCATACATATGCAGAAGCTCAGAAATACAAAGATAAAGTCGATAATTTCAGATGAAGAAAAACTATCTGAAGAACAAATAGACAACATGGTTAGTTTGTTTCTTTCAAACGTAAAGCAAGGAACATGGAAGAGCCAAGGTTGGCCTGAGATATGGACTGACTACTCTGTTTCCAAGATTGCTCTAAATGCTTACTCAAAGCTATTGGCAAAGCAAAACCAAGGTTGTGGTTTGAGTGTGAACTGTTATTGTCCAGGATTCACTCAGACTTCAATGACTCGCGGTAGGGGTACTCACACCGCTGACGATGCTGCAGCAATTGGAGCTATGCTAGCCTTGCTTCCTCCTCAAGAACTTCCGACTGGAAAATTTTATATAGCTCATAGCAATCTCGCGTGCTCTAAGTTATAGATGGATCTTGCTTTGAATGGGTTCTAATTTTCTCAATATATATATATATTTTTAAATTTTATATATTGATGTTTTGTTAGAGCAATCCTGCTGCATACCCTCAGTGGGGGTCGCACTCCCAGTGAGGTGTCGCGCCCCCACTAGCTGAAACCCAAAAAAAAAAAAAAAAAAAGAAAACAATTTTTTTTTAGTCCAATTATGGACTGCCACCTCACTGGGGGTCGACCCCCAGTGAGTGTATGAGGCATTTTCCTTGTTAGAGTCTAGCTAGCCTTTCTTTCACAAGAACATTCTCTCTATTTCTCTCAAGAAACTTTCGAGGAAAAAAAAATCATCCACTCTTTTTGGTACTGACAAACCCCAATGTCAAGTAGTTATAATCAAGTATGATTGAAGGTGGTGATGAATTGATATAGATCCCGATCAAAATTTGATTTTTTTTTTTGATTTGCAAAATTTTTTTTTTATTGATATTAAAAGGGTGAAGCACTAATAAATCTCAAAATGTGGTCTTATGAATTGTTTATTCCTTTTTTTTAAAAAAATTTTATTTAATTTTATTTTTTTTATGAACTCAAAGGTCCCATTAAAGTGAAAATTTTACACAAAAAGATAGTTACTTACACATTTGTGTTTAATTTTTGAGGGATAAAAGTGAGTTTCTTCAAATGTGAAATTACAAATTTGGGCAATCTGCAATATAGAAATTTTGGATATTCCCTCATTCTGGAACAAATTTTAAATTACGAATAAGAACGTAGCACATTAATAACGTAGCATTCCAATGTAATACACTAAAAAACTCTTTAGTGTACTTTTTTCAAATGTAACAATGTAGCACTTTAAATTTTTTCTAAACGTAACATTCTAATGTAACACACTCAAACATAATACTCCAATGTAACACACAAAAAACTCTTTAGCATATTTTTCTTAAACGTAACACTCCAATTAATGTAATCTCAAATTTAACAATCCAATGTAACACACATAAAATAACTTAAAAATTACAAGTGATTTTTTTAGTCAAAAAGTCACTAAAAAAATCAAAAAGCTAACAACCCATATCAAAAAGTCAAAGATTTTTTTTTTTTTACTTTTTGCACATCTTTTCGTAAAAAATCAAAAAGTAATCCCAAGCATACTAGTTTTTTTTTTACATCACATTTTAGCCAAAAAGTCAAAAAGTTATTAAAAAGTCTGTTCCCAAACGAGACCTTAGTGTATTTTTTTTCCAAACGTAACACTCATAGTTTGAAATTTTACATTCACCCAAAATTTACTAAGAAATTTTTATACTCCTTTAGGAATGATTTGAAGAATCTCACATCGTTTCACTACAAGAAATGTCACTTTTGGCTACCAAAATATTGGTCGCCAAAAGTCAGTTATTTAGTCGCCAAAATGATTTAGCAACCAAAATTTTTCGTCGCTAAGCTCGTCGCCTTTACCTTGTCGGCGATAGTATTGGCGACTAAAATCTGTTTGGTCGCCGAAAGTGTACACATTTGGCTACTAAATTGGCTTTAGTCGGCAAAAGGTATGTTTCCCCTACTAAATAATTGGTTGCCGAAAGTGCACATTTGGCTACTACTTTGAGTTTAATCGGCAAAAGATATGTTTCTGCCACTAAATAATTGGTCGCGGAATTAGGCTTTTTGGCTACCAACCTGTTGTGGTCGGGGAATGTATCACTTTTAGCTACTAAATAATTGGTCGCCGAAAGTGCACATTTGGCTACTACTTTGAGTTTAGTCGGCAAAAGGTATGTTTCTGCCACTAAAGTATTATTCACTAAAAGTGCTACCATAATTTAAGAATAACTATTATAGACCAAATATTTTTGTCACCAATAGAATACATATTTTTAGTGACTAAGTAATTTTTGTCATTGTTACTTTTGCCCACTAAAAGTTTCGTAGCCAAAAGCCTGCTCACATTCACTTCTTCATTTTTTGCCACCAAACATTTTAGTAGCCAAATGACACCATATTTTTTCCGTGACTAAAAAATTTAGTAGCCAATACTTTCTCTATCTCTTTCTCAATTGTTTTAGCTACTAATTATTTGGTCACAAAAAATTAATGGGTTATGTTTTTGCTACTAAATTCTTAGCCACCAAACATTTGATTACATATTTAGCTACCAAAATATTTGGTGGCCAAATATGTTAACATTTTTTTTTTAATTAAAATATTTGGTGCACCTGTATCCATTATTAATACAACCTGTATCCATCAACGGTAAATATGTTATGAAGCATTCAACAACAATTACACACATTTCAGTTCCAACCATCCAAAAAATTAATATTGAACATCCACTTATATATATATATTACAAATTTCATAAGAACCAAGTCTAAGCCCACGTCAATAATTTAATTCAATACATAATACTGGAATAACCAAATTCTTTGTGCACCTACAACTTTTGTACCACAACAAAAATTATATTATGTACCACGTGCTATGTTAATTGCTACCAACAAAAAATATATTAACTCTACCAACAAAAAATTTTGTACAAACCACTATATATACGGATAGAGATATGAAAAAAATGCCCTCCCGTACTTGTCAACAAAAACATATCCACATTTGTATGTCCAAAAACATCTGCAAAAAAGGGGGAAAAAATCATTAGTTCGGTGCATGTAATGGCACTTCTGGACGACATATATATATCGTAATAATTTCAAACATTAAAAGACAAAGACAGTGATATCTATTAACTAATGCAAGACATCCAAACATGAACCCATCATGAGTTCTTGTTTTAGCTTTTTTATCTCTAAATCTATCGAAGTAAATTTTAGTACTTAAATGTGAAAGTAAATTGTGTAGGTATTATGAAATTACCAAAATTTTGGGTGTACTTACCATTTCATCCAAAAATTATTTGTTATAAAAATGTAAGAAAAGCCATCATTAGAGTTTGTCTGGTATCCATAAAACTCACTATGCTTATGCTTTTGTGACCTCCACGAAGCTTCCAGTGAAACGGAGTTACGACGAGAGAGATACAAATGTTTGAATATGTGGGTTTGAATTTGAAATTTTGCCGAGATTTCTGTTAGTTTAATGTGATGGAGATGGACAGAGAGACCAGATTGAAACATGGGTGGAGTGATAGGGTTTAATTTATCGAAATTGAAAACTTGGAGTTTAAAATGAAAAATGTGCCAAACCTGGGGCTTTTTGTGTAATTAACCCCAAAAAAAATATGTGCCGTGTTGTTATTTGTGTAAATACTTCCAAATAGTGACGCTTGGTTTTGGAAGTCACGTTTTTTATAATTTTTCCTTTTTAAAAAATTAAAATTGAACAAAAAGATTTTTTAAAGTAATGTTTATAATTTAAATGAGAAAGCTACTTTCAAATAAGAATTCATTTAATTAAAAAAAAAAGTTGAAATTTGTATTAACAATGAGTCACTAATTAAATAACAACAATGCTACAAACTTCCCAAAAAATCCAACCCCCACAATCCCCATTCACTTGTGAAGAAAAAAAAATGATTGATTCACGTCATTTTAGAGGTTGTGGGAGTCCCCAACCTTCACTACAAGAAATGTCACTTTTGGCTACCAAAATATTGGTCGCCAAAAGTCACTTATTTAGTCGCCTAAATGAATTAGCGACCAAAATTTTTCGTCGCTAAGCTCGTCGCCTTTACCCTGTCGGCGATAGTATTGGCGACTAAAATCTGTTTGGTCGCCGAAAGTGTACACATTTGGCTACTAAGTTGGCTTTAGTCGGCAAAAGTTATGTTTCCCCTACTAAAATAATTGGTCGCCGATAATCAGCATTTGGCTATGACTTTGAGTTTAGTCGGCAAAAGGTATGTTTCTGCCACTAAAGTATTAGTCACTAAAAGTGCTACCATAATTTAAGAATAACTATTATAGACCAAACATTTTTGTCACCAATACAATACATATTTTTAGTGACTAAGTAATTTTTGTCATTGTTACTTTTGCCCACTAAAAGTTTTGTAGCCAAAAGCCTGCTCACATTCACTT